GTTCGTGTCCGGCGTTTTGTTGGGAGGTGTGAGTACGCAAGGTGTCCCCGTCTCGTGATGGCGTGGGTGGCCTGGAGATGCTTGCTATCACTCCCTCGTCACCGTTTCGCGGCATGATAGGAAGTGTGTGGACAGACGTTGAGTTGGCCTTGAGCCACCGGGGCCTTAGGGACGCTATAAACGCCTTCTGCTCATATAAGATCGGGTTAGTGAGGCGTATGGCGACTGCCTCTGCTGTCGTAAGTATCCGCTGACACAGGAACTTGGAATCTCTCGCCAGCACTTTATACATGTCTTAAAACGCTTGGTTTACGTCTACCCGATGACCACTGTCAACCAAGTGAGCCAAAATCGGGCTTGATATTGACTTTACCTAGCCTCTGTTTAGCCAAGGAGGATGGTGTTCTCGCACTCGCTTGGGTAGCCGCCTAGTTGTTCGACCGATATAACCTACCACACAACTCCTAGTCTTAATAAGGGACCAGAGAAGGGGGGGGGGAAAGACTCGGACAATTTGTTCTGTCGCTTCTAGTTCATGTTCACTCTACTCTCCCTAATATTATTGTACTAGCCTGATGATGAATAATCGAAAATGTTTGTTCGCCTAACTTGAGTTTTTGAATGCTTACATGACCTTTTTATTTGACCCAGTTGTGAAAAAACTCGCGGCCTCGGTGGGAGTCGAACCCGCACAGAATGGAAGGCCTTTACACAACCAACGCTCAATCGATTTGAGCTAAGATACCAGGCCTTGCGCCGTGAATTTAATCCCACTTGGATCGATTTTATTCGCCCAACTTACCGCTCGTATGGAATCCCTTAATGCTTACATGACTATCATGGTCGAACTTAAACACTCACAGTGCGATAGCAGTTTGTGGGCCGCTGTTATTCGCTGTATGCGTGCAGTCGAACGGCTAGAGAATCGTGATCACGTGACCTTTTGCGCGGCGTGGGCGTCAGAGATCGAAACTCCTGCAATATTTTGATAAGTTCAAAGGTCAGCCTGAGACGGATTAACTGTTTCCCTATATTCGCCCTTCATTTGCACAACAAACTTACTAGGAGTACCATAGTCTTTTTTGTTCATCGACTATGCAAGAGGAGAAACTTTGAAATCTTCTGATTTTTCCCTGAAACCTTAACATATATATCTTCCGAAGTTTAATTAGGGTATGTTAACCTTGCTTGTTGACCTCTTGTTGCGAGTCAATGGATAAATTGTAGATTGTAACATGTAAAACATGCCTTCTGCTTGAAAAAAAACATCTGCTTATGTGACCAAAGAGAGGGGCAAAGAAGAAGGGTTGGTTTGTAAAGCAACGGCATATAAAATACGTATTTTGGCGGAAATTCAATAATTCTGCCCCCTATATTCACAATGCTCGTTTTGCCAAAAATCAGGCATCGTAAAAAACACCCGTTTCAATCCTTTCTGCCACTGGTGCCCCCCTCCCCGTGGATTGACCTGACAGCTGCTTCTGGCAAACCAATAACAGCTGCGCCAGCGTCCCCTGTCCTTCGGCGTTCCGGCGGCCCCTCACGTCCAAATAAGCACGTCTGCCTAATCACCACTTCCACGCGCACCTTCAACGGACGCACCAGAAGTCTCAATACTTGACACCTCCTTCTGGCAATTGCAACAAACCAATAGCAAACAACATGAATTCGCTTTGCAGTCATGTAAAAGTAGCTGTTATCATCACCTCTTTCACCACAGATCACCCACTCTCAGGCGCGACTGGAAGCAGTCTACAGCAGCGCTGGCTTCACTAGCGGCCACTGTTACCTGAGACAGGAACATTGGGTTCTGTGCACAACAATGCCCTCATTCTGGTGACTGCTGTCAAACACCTTCAACCTGGGTACCAACCTGATGATTGTAGTAATCTGAGTACATCCACTACTTAGACCCCTACATTTTTAAATAAACAATCAAATTTTCATTAATATGTCTAACTTATCCTTTGAAATAAGCGTGATTACTACAAATGTTGTATTGTATCCAATGGGATCGAAATGGCTTCCAGACAGTGGTCCAGTCTTATCAGTCTTGCAACACCACCGAAGCAGTATTTACAAACGGCTTTTGCGCTTAGCGACTGTGGTTGGCGTTCTTTCGCATTATTTGCCCTTTAATTAAAGCAATTAGCCAACCTACCTAATTAAATTAAGTAGCAATATAAGCAAGCATGTACGTGTTTTCGTTTACGGGGGAAACGGCGAAGTAGGCCAACGTCTGTTCCTGATTGAACGTAGAACCGCATTCGGTCCCGAGTGTGATCTCTCGGTTTCGAAATTAAGAGACAGTTTAAAAGGCCAGTCAAAGCATAGGTAAAAAGAGGGAACTGATTAATTTTGTTCACAAACTGGGAAAACAAATATTAAAGCGAAACAACTGGGCTCGATAACAAGGAGTCTTGTGGATCTGTAGGGACGAGGAGAAGAGGACACCGCTGAGGACATCGGTCGGAGGGTGAACCTGCGAATGCAGGCAGCAGTCCCGGTTTTGGTA